TATATATATATATATGTATATGTATCAACTTAAACTCCTCAATAGAAAATATTATGTCCACAATAAAAACAAGCAAATTAAGGTTAATGTCATAGGGGTCGCTGCTTTCTAAATTAGAAAAAATGGTTTGCCACTCTAAATATAACAACCAATCTTCAGTTTCGATATTTTCAGGACTGCTTCTCATTCAAGACAATTGGAGCAAAATTTACTTTCCCAAATTAAAAACTCTCAAAATATAGAGATGACATCGAAGAAGAGATGTATGGAGAAATAGGCGTGCCATACTTATGCTGAACTTAACAAAAGAGAACTTACAGCTTCCATGAGATCTAAAATTTCAGATTCTTTGAGATCAGCGCCAACTCTTTCCAAACCAGACTTGAGTTCCTCGAAAGTGATTTGACCACTATTGTCTGTGTCTATCATCTTGAACATTTCTTTCAAACCAGCAATTTCTTCTTCTGACAAGCTCTCAGCAATAACCTATAAAGTTCCAGTTTTCATGTAAGACCACCACATTGAACAGCTGTAGTATTTCAAGTAAGTGCCTTAAAGGAAAAATAAAACAAAAGAAATGGAGATGATCAAATCCAACTAAGCACAATTTGATCAGCTATAAGACAAAAACAAGAAAAATAAAGGAACGGATGGTTATGCGGGATTCAGTTGCAATGCAAAAGGAACAGTAAGAGAAATTCTTTCAATATATTGAAAAAGGCTAGATAGAATTGAAAAAAATGATAAAATCATTAAGAATAATGGCAACTGACATTACCAAGGCACAAAAACATTATAGAGCATGAAACTTATGAGAAAGAGTCGTACGCTAATCAGTTTGGTTGCTAGTTTGATGTCGTAGGCTAATCAGTTTGGTTGCTAGTTTGATGTCTTGCTGTTTCTTTTGGTGTCTTGTACCTAGACACATGATCCTTCTATTGTCGTTGATCTTGGTGCTTATCCTTATTTCCGCAGCTCTTGTGCCTATCCTTATAGATAATGGTGAAGTGAGCCAAGCATACTCGTAAGCCTGCTCAAGCTTGGCTTGATAACTGGCTCGTGAGCTAAACTTGATAAAATAACAAGCCAACCTCAAGTCAGCCCAAACTTGACTTGTTGGCTTATGATCCTGCTCATTTAAGAAAATATTGATATAAAATATAGTCAAAATATATTAAACATCAAGATTTTATTTTTTAATTATTTAAAGAATACTCAAAAAAATGATATCATTCATCTTATATCAAATGATTTCTTAATATTTATCTCCTAACTGCTCACACTATTTGTCAGTTTATTATAACATAATTTCTCTCTTTTATAATCAAGAGCCATCTCGAATTTGCAGATCTAAGCTCGAGCTCCATTAATTAATCAAGTTCATGCTTAAGCCAATGGTGGTTCAAGCTCGACTTGAATCATTTACACCCCTACTTATAGCTACTGCTCCTAAGCTTATTTACATAATCCTTATATTACCGTTGCTCTCATGCTAATCCGCGTAATCCTTCGCTTGTTGGTGCTCCATGCTTATCAATGTGTACACAATGTCCTATTTTTTTGCCTTAGCATAGATATGTGTGAAGGAATTCCCACACAAATTTGAATATCACTCAGGGATTGAAATTATTCAAGTCTGGTGCAAATGTTGATGGTCAAATTGTGTGAAAAGGATCTCTTTATATTGGCATGAGGCCAAAATATTTAAATTTAATGAACTATTTTCTTGCACATTTCTTCTAAAATTTATTAATTGGTTTCTACATGTCATTGGATTTTATCAAAGCTTGTACAACTTGTTTTGTAACAGCTTATTTTCCAGTTTGGTCTTCATTGATCCTTAAGTTGTTATCTGAATTTCTATTTGAGGCTTATTAAATCATTAAGAAAATTGTCAAATGGTCCATTAGCTCTTTTTAGGGGTCTATTTTAGTCTGAGAGTCTATAAAATATCAAATTAGTCCATATACTCGTTTAATATAGGCTAAAATAATCCACAATGATAACTATTTTAGCACCAACAAAAATAATTTAGAGACTAAACTGACACTTTTATAGCCTCTAGGACTAAAATTACCCCTGCAAATAGCAGGTGACTATTTTTGATACTTTACTCTTAAATCTTCATTTAGGATCATTTTTAAATGTTGTTGGTTTTCATTGAATGAGAATTATTTTTTTTGAATTAAAACTTTGTGTGCCAAATTTTACCTTCTGTTGTATTAGAGAAACCAAGACCCCCTGGGATAACCTACATCACCCACGCTGGCATATTAATTAATGATACATTAGTACCTAGCATTGGTATAGCTTGCATAAAATATTCCTTTACTAAAAAAATTCAAGACAGTAAATGCTCATAAGATGAAAAAAGCATTCATTTAAAACTTTTAATTTATGAAGCCATGCTTTATGTATTAACATGCAAAGAACATAAGGTTATGTTACATGGCAAGTCAAGCTACCAGACTATATAAGCCAAAATGCAGTACTAAAAGTACTTTATTAGTTCGGAGAAAGGTTCCTCACCCTATGGGCTATCTTCTTGAGCTTGTTTGTGGCAGCAAATTGCTTTAATCGAGTTAAAACAGCAGAATCAAGAGGCCTATCAGGGGCAGCTCCATCAACTCGGACCCAGGGATGGCCTGCCAGAAAGTAGAAGCAAAACAGCAACAAAAAATTCACAATTGAATATCAAATAGATCGCTTAATTTTTTTTTTCTCTATCAAAAAACATTTTTGGGTTGTTTTTGTTTATCTGACGAACATAATCAGATCAGCAACTTACTAATGCTTCAAGAAAACATAAAGATGCCCTACTAGCCTCTCAGTTGGGTCTAGAAACTCCATTCCGCGCTGTTCTTGATTGATTTTTTTTATTATTCTGAGGATGTCGTACAAATCAGCAGTTATGATGGGAGTTCAAAGAAATTCTACCTCATCAAACGGTTCCTATAATTCTGAAACCACCATACCTCACCTGATAGCTCCTCTAATGGGTAGTTCTGCTGAATATTTTCCTCATAATTTGCCATCTTGCCTCATGTCTATAAAACTTAATGGACAGTTATCTCGAGTGGGCACAATCTATAAAATTAAAGACCAATGGGAGGCAAAATTGGGTATTTAATAGAATAAATCTCAAAACCTACTACTAATGATCTGAATGTAAGAACATGGCAGTTTGAAAATTCTCCAATAATGGCATCACTTATCAATTCCATGGAACCTTATATAACCTAATCTAATTCTTCTCAGATTTTGAGATATATGGGAGGTTGATCGAGATATCTATTCAGACTCGGAAAACTGTTCCCAAATTTTTTAGTTGAAAACTCAATTTTGAAAATTCAAGCAAAAAGATCGTGATGTTACTGCATATTAAAATAAGTTGGTAACATTACAACAATAACTTGATCAATATTATGATGACATTTAGGAGAATTCAAATGACTATGCTCGCCATAAGAAAAGAGAGAAAATTGATGAAGTCTACATATTCTTAGGTGACTTTAATCGGAGTTTCGATGAAGTTTGGGGTCGAATCCTTGGTAGGAAACATCAACGCTCAATTCAAAAAGTTTTTTCTAAAGTTAGACGTAAAAAGTTTAGAAGGAAAATTATGGTGTACAATGCCAAACTGTCTGGTACCGCTGAACAGGAAAACTTGGCTCCTGTGTCAAAAGGGATTGATACAGAAAAAGAAAGACGAAAAAAATAAACTATAGTGTAAGCATTACAAAAGCCCATGACATGCAAATGAGACATGGTGGAAGCTTAATAGAAAAGCTACAAATTGAAAATCAAAATCCAAGCATGAAGGTCGAGCTTATCAAGCCGTTGCGGAAGAAACTCAAGCGTCTTCTGCTACTTAAATGCAATCCCTTTGACCAAGGAGCAATTATAACTCTTGCAAAAATTATTTCCATCTCCACAAACCCTGACTCCGTCTTCCTCTTTAGTGTAGAAGGGAAACTATCTGGCCACTAGTTTGTTGTGTGTTATTCCTGATTTTTCTTATTCTTGGATAATTGACTCTGGTCTAATTGATCACACAACGGGTCTTCCTAAATAATTTTCCTCTTATAAACTTTGTGCAAGAAATAAAAAGATCAAAATTACTGATGCTTCCCTCTCGATAATAATGGGGTAAGAACTATCAAACTCTCAACGTTGTTAATCCTTTGTGATGTTTTCCATGTTCCTAATTTATCATATAACTTATTATTTATTAGTAAAATTAATTGTTGGTCATTAATGTCAAATTAACTTCTATTTTTTTACTGTGAGTTTTAGGAATTGACCACAGTGAGGATGATTGACAGTGCTAAGAAAAAAATATATTGTTATTTTAAAGATGAACTTGACAAGAATAGACAATGTCAAAGTATTATTTTAAATTTTATTTATGTTTTTAAAGACAATGAAATTATTTTATGACATTATAGGATATGTTGCCTTAATTTTCATTATCTAAAATATTTATTTCCAAATTATTTTAGAATAAAATACATTGTTTCAAAGTGAAGTGTGTCGATTTGCTAGACTCATCGTGCATTATTTTCTCCACAACTATACAAACCTACTAAACCATTTACTTTGATTCATAGTGATATTTGAGGACTTTATAAAACCCCTACTCACTTTGGAAAAAGATGGCTTGTGACTTTCATTGTCACACTAGGTTAGATTGGGTTTATATAATGGGAGAAAAATCTAAAGTAAAAATAATTTTAAAAAAAAATTTCACCATGGTACAAATTCAATTTCAAACAATCATTCAAATATTACAGAGTGGCAATGAATGAGAGTATTTCAAAAATAATTTGGTAAATTCTTTCTTGGAAAAGAAATAATTCATCAACGTTCTTGTGTCTCGACAACAAAATAGGTTGGTTGAAAAGAAATACAAGCACTTATTGGAGGTAGTGTGAGTCTAGTTTTTACCAATCAGGTGCCTAAATATCTTTGGGTTGGTGCAATCAAACTTACTGCTACTTTTCTCATAAATAGAGCATTCAATAAGGTCTTAAACTTTGAAACATATTTTGATGGTTTTTAAAAAAAAATTTAAAGAATCGGCTCTCATGTTCTCTCTCTAAAGATATTTGGATGCAATGCTTTCATTCATATTCATCATCATGGAAAACTTAAACCTCAAGCCAAAAAATGTGTGTTTATTAGTTAAGCTTATAGCCAAAAGGGATATAAATGTTTTGATCTCACTACTAGAAAAATGTTTGTTACCATAAATATCACCTTTTTTTAACTTCATTTTTCTTACCTCATCTTTCAGGGAGAGAACAAAACAAAGATTTGTTCACTAAATTTCAAGATTTTTTTTAAAATTGAAGCAAAATAGCATACCCCCAACCTTGAGTGTTCAACCTGAAAATCCTAGTAAAATCTTAATAGGAGAAAGTGCATCAAGCCTTTTAGATATGGAACTCTCTAAAATGTCATCTTATGATGTTCATAACAAAGAAGAAGTGGGAAAAAAAGCTATGACAGTAGTAACGTTTTGTTTTGTATATTCACGTAAGAACAACTCAAAAGAAAGAATCTACAAATTCTTTGCACATCCCAGAATCTGGGAACTTACCACGTAACGTTCTCATTAATCATTTACCTCATGTTCAAGCCAACTCATCTTCAAGTTATGAGTCTTCTAGTCCTAAATACGAGTCTAGTTTGAATCCTAGGTCTAATGAGTCTAGTCTTCCCATTGGAAAAAAAATCTTACACCGAACATTCATGGTCCCACTATTTATGAAAATTTCTCATCCACTTTCCCTGCTTTTACCTCACAATTGTCATGTATATAGATTCCAAGTACTATGTGGGATGCTTTGAAAATCCCTAAGTGGAAGGACACTATTTTTGAAGAGAAGAAAACTTTTGAAAAAATAGCACTGGGAAATTGGTTGAACTACCTATAAGAAAGACAAATGTCCATTGCCAATGTGTCTTTACAATCAAAAACAATTATGTTGACTTTCTAAAACGATACAAGACCCGATTAGTTGCCAAGGGATCACTAAGACAAATAGAATTGATTATTTTGAGATATTTGCTCCAATTACAAAACTCAACTCTATAAGGGTATGTCGCTTACGGTAAATCTTGATTGGCCCCAACAACAATTGGCTATAAAAAATATCTTCCTCAATAGGGTCTTAGAGGAAAAATTGTATATTGACACACCTCCTGGATTTAAAGAGAAGTTTGGCACAAAAGTGTGTAAATTGAAAAAAATCCTTATGTGGATTGAAGCCGTCACCGAGAGCATAATTTGAGAAATTTACACTGTTTATTAAAATTTTGTGTTATATTCAAAGGTAAGGAGATCATACAATGTTCTTCAGATATTCAAATGATGAGAAAACAGTCGTATTGATTGTGTACGTGTATGATATTAGTCTCACAAGAAATAATGGATATGAGATAAATCGTTTGAAGAATCCCTTATTATTTATTTTTGAAACCAAGGACTTGAGATCTCGACGGTATTTCCTTCGCATGAAAATTGCTCGATCGAAGAAAAGAGTTGTTCTCTCAGAGGAATTATGTGATTGATCTTCTCAAGAAAATTGAGATGACTGGGTGTATATCTGTAAACACTCCTATTGATCCAAATCAAAAGCTGAGAGACGGGAAGAAAGGTGATCCGGTGAATACAGTAAGGTATCAAAAAATGATGGTAAAATTAATATATTTATCACATTCACGTCCAGACATTGCCTTTGTACACTTTATGCATTCTCCCTATGAGAAACACCTTGAAGCAATCAACAAAATTCTCAGATATCTAAAAAGCACATCGAGTAAAAGCTAACTCTTTCAGAAGATCACACAAAAGAACATAGAAACATACACTGATGCAAAATGGCTCAGTTATGGCAAGAGATCAACTTCTAGAAACTACAGTTGTGTGGTGAAACCTAGTTATATGACGAAGTAAGAAACATAATATGGTTGCAAGAAGTAGTGTGGAGGCAGAATATAGGACTATGGCTAATGTAGTGTGTTAGATGTTATGATTGAGAAGAATTCTTGAAGAGCTGTAGATGTCGATAAACCAATGAGTTATACTAAGAAAATAAAGCAGTCATAAGCACTGCGAAAATTCCGTATAGCATGATCGCACAAAGCATGTGAAAATTGACAAATACTTCATAAAAGAAAAGATTGATTATGGAGCTATTGGCATGCCAGTTGTCCCTGCAAATAGTGAATATCTTGACCAAAAGGATTGTTCAAGCCTAATTTTAAGGTTCTTGTAAATAAGTTGGGCAAGACAGATATCTATGCTCCAACTTGACGAGAGTGTTGAATATTTAGTATCTCTAATTATTAGTATTTATTATTTTTAGTATCATCTAGCATTGGTATGTCATCATTATTGTTTCATTCTTTTACTATGGGATTCATCCTCCTCTATTTAATTTGTAATTATTTTTCTAAGAAATTGAAGTGGAATAATAATTTTTCCCATCCCAAAAACTACACTATTAAATATGCAAAACATAGCCATCATAAAAAGGAACATGGTGCCATCAATCAACATAAAGATCCACACGCCTTAATTATCTAAAATAGGGAACGTACATAAAACTTCATGGGCAGTCAGACGTTTTTTTACATCCCTCTCAAGCATTTTCCTAATTAGATCTTTCGCACCTTCCGAAATTCCAGGCCATGGCTCAGATGAGAAATCAAGTTCGCCTTTCAAAACTTGCTCAAAGATTCCCTGCTCTGTTTCTGCATTGGCCAATAAAAAAAAAATCCAAATGAATTATTAATCTGGAGTTTAGTCGTCATTAATAGAAGAATTATATTCAGAAAAATGATGACAATGACAGCTTGTTTAGGAATACAAATACGAAATATACCATCCCAAAATGGAGGAACACCGCTCAAGAAAATATAAATCATAACTCCAGCACTCCAGACATCTGATTCTTGTCCATAATGCTTCCGCAGCACTTCAGGTGCTACATAGTATGGGCTCCCAACAACATCAGTAAAGACATCCCCTGCAGATATAAGGCAGCTCATGCTCACGAAAATACTTGAAAAAAATATCAAATATGATGATACGCACAACCGTTACAAGAGAAGTAAACCCCAAGGGAAATTTAAATGTAAAAGGTGTTTAGATATCAACAAAATGAATTAAAACTGAGAACAGCAGATGAAAAACAACTAAAAAAATTCTGATTTGGTCATCATAGTATAGTACTCTCAGTTTTAATGCTGCAAAGCATGTAAAATATATTTTAACAATGTAAGAATGATATGTCTGAGATATCAAACAAAGACATAAAAATAACGTAGTCGCAAAAGTTGAATATTGTTCTTTCTCGCCACTCAGCTAACCCAAGGAGTGTAAACGAGCCGAACACGAGCGAGCTCAAAGCATGCTCATGTTTGGCTCAATTGAAATTTCTTTTGTTTGAAATGAGCTTGTGTTCAAAAAATCTCATTAGTAACAAATTTATCTTTGGTTTGATTTAAATTTTTTTTGTTCTAATTAGCTCATGCTCGGCTTGAATTTGAGCTTGACCCAGGGTAATAAAATTTAAAGAAATTTAATATATTAAATCATCAGTATTGATTTTAATATTTCTCATGCAAGGAAAAGTGAGAACTCACTTTTACAAGCTCCCAAAATTTTGCAAAATAGTAAGGTTTGTTTATGCTTTTAAAGAGCATTTGGAACATTAAAATTTTAAAATTCACAATGCGGGACTAAAAATTTGATCCGCGAATGGGTTATTGGGAGATAATTCTAGGAACATTTACATGCACACCACCCATTTCTTATGTATTACATATCTAATACCTACATGCCAGTAACATTATGTCAGAACCACAAGGCAGAGTAGGGTAGATGGAGGGGGACGGAGCAGGCTGTGCAGACCCAGGCGGGCGCATTTTGCATACATACCACCCAATTCTTATGTATTTACAAATCTAATATCCTACATAAAAATTCTAAGGGCATTTACATACATACCACACATTTCTTATGTATTTATATATCTAACACTAAAGCTTAGAATAAAAAAAGTTTTTAGGGGCATTTAATACTTACCACCCAATTCTTATGTATTTACATATTTAACACTAAATTTTGTTTTTAATATTTATACAAATCAAATCATTGATATCATATTAAAGATATACATATTTTAATTTTACATATTATTTATCTATTGTTTAATTAATTCAAGCCAAAAAAAACTGAACATAATCAAATAATAGTTTGTTCGTGTTTGGCATGTTTATAAATCGAGTTCAAAAAACTAATTTCTTTTTGACTTGTTTGCTTAACGAATAAATCAAATATGAGCTACTTAGAGAGCCAAACACAAGTTATTCACAAACAAAAAGTTTTTTGACAGCCCTAGCTATCCACCATGTACGCCTAAACTTTCTTGCTTATGGTTCTAGAAAGGTGGATACCCTTTCAATCCAAACTGAGGATGAAAATAAATTATAATGCACCATTAGGAAGTATGAAAGAAGGCATCTTGGTGCTCAAACAAAAAAATTTAAAAAAAATGAAATGGATACAATAGTTTTTATGACGCAAGTCTAACAAGCATATGGCATGATTTACTATTAGGCAAATGTAATAGAATTATTGTTGCAAGTTAATATTCAAAGACAACCAAATAAATTGCCATTTATATTGCATATTTTGAATATGCATGTACTAGACTTGGGTGTTGAGCGGGTCGGGCTTGGCACGGGCTTTGATCAGTCAAAATAGGCTTGGGTCTGGACGGAGCCTGATTTCTATTTAAAAAATCATAACTAAGCCTGCCCACTTTAGAAATCGGGTAGGGTCGGGTCGGCCCATGGGCCTTAAAAGAAAAATCTTTTTTTTTCTCTTTTTTATGATTTTAAACATTTAATGGAGTCTTAAAGTAGATGGACATTTGCAATTATAACATAAGTAGTGATATGTGTTTGTGTGACTATGTGTGTGTGTGTTTTATTTGAGCTGGATTCAAATGATCCAATATAATAATGCCACATGATAATGGTGAGTCGGTGGTTTGAGCCTATATGATATGCATTAATGCATCACTAGTGTTTCACCCTTCCAAGATAACTCATTTATTTATGAGTTCTTTTTTGGTTGCTTTCATTGGCTTACTAGAAAACTGACACAACGGTCGAGTTTGGCTATTTCAGGCTTTGACCAAGTCAAAGCGGGCTCAGATCAAGCTGGCCGAGCCAGCTAAATTTTTATTTTTCCACCGCCAAACCAGCCCATTTAAAGTGAGCATATGGCGAGCCCATCAAGCCACCCGCCCAACACACAAGTCTAGCATACCCAAAGGATTATAGGAATGCTAGAACATTCATTCAGACAATTCTAGTGTTGTAATTTATGTCTTAGTTCATTAAAGTGAAGACCAATATAAAGCCACAAATAAATGATACAATTCAAGAAGATCGTCAAAATTAATATGAGGCTTCCTTTGTTCAGCTCGAAAGCAAAAGCCTGAGACCCCTAGGTTAAATCTTTTTTCTACTTCTATCCATTTGAAAAAAAAAGACATGCTATGCATTCATTTCATTCCAAAACTTCTTAAAAAAACATTAAAATACTGGAGTAAAGGAGCTTCATACCGTCAAGCTAGTATAAAGCACTTCTCTCTAGGATAAAGATGAAAATGTCAATCTCCATCAATTTCAACTTTATCTACTCCACCTCTATCAATATTCCATTGAGGCCAACAGACCTCCACCTTTCTCGTCACTTCATACCATCTAAAAGATATGTGAGATTATTACTGCCACTTCATCAACTCAGGAACTACCTAATTATTTTGAAATTATTATTTTGCCCACTCATCGATTATGAACTAATATAATTATTTTTCCTAAATTTGTATGTTTCTTACTAGAGGCTCTCTAGGATTGCATAAGTACTTCACAAATGTAGGAATGAAGTACTACATCAATATTATCAAGGTGTCGGTGCTTTAGATATTGTTCTTAGCATTTCTATAAGGCATGACTTTCATTGTTGCATTGCCTAAAACTGCCAAACCTTCATTGGTGCAAGTCTTTTTATGTTTCACCCAATCTTCTCATTTGTAGCCTTCATCACTACAGCCTAATCTCTATCTTAATTTCTCTTTGAAATCAATTATTATCATTTTTTGTCCTTCTTATCGATCACAAAGATACCCATATTCCTTTGCTCTTAGGTTCCTTTAAAATCAAGGCCGATAAAATCCAAATCCAACAAAAGAATTGCAAAGCATCCATGTAATACATCATTTATACAAAAGATTATCTCAAGTCTCAAGTGGCCACAATTGGTTTGTATCTTCATGAATGAAAAAAAATTGGGCTATTTACTTGGCACTGAGCCTAAACAAGACGCTCCCACATTCAATCTTGGGATGAATATGAATTTAAGATGATGCTTTATTTATAGAGCTACATGATTTCGAAAATAAGTAGCATTACATGTTCTGTCATTCAGCAAAAAAACAAAAAAAAGGAAACAATAAATTAAATATATTCTTAAGTTTGTGATATGGCCCAAATCTATGAGATCAAAAGCAAGTTCTTACCCACAACACGAGTAAAATGATTCATCACCGAATACTCCAATCTAATACAAAACATTTGATAAGAGATGAATCATCATCAAAATATCCAAATAAAATGTAATAAAGATGGAACCATCCTTAAAAATTTTATTGAAAAAGATTGAATTTATAATATTCTTGTTGGATTAAATATTGAGTTTTAGTTACAAGGGTACAAACTCGAAAAGTCATTGACATCATTAGAATGGAAAAATGAAGCAAGTTATGATTTGTAAAACTCTTATAGAAGATTAAACTCCAATGACAAAGGCTACCGACATCAATCATCCTTCTTTATGAATATCCTAAATTAAGAATTAGTCAGAAAACTTATGAAGATCAGATAGATATTCCTTTATAAACATAATTGGATCACTGGAGAGCTATTCAACAAGGCTCCAATTGATGTTTGAATCATCAATTAAACTTTTATGACTATGTACTACGTGAAACCAGCACTAAAAAGATTTTTAAACATAGTTTGGCAAGTTGGTATTTCTATAGTTTGAATTAATACAAAAAAAAATGAAAAATTAGTGGAAATTAATAAAAAATAGAAACTCGATATCATTCAAAAAGCAACACCCAACAAAGATGAATAAGGCTTGACATACAAAAAAAAATATTGAAATCTTCATGGCAAGTCACCAAAAAAAATTTTGACAATACTGTGAGGACAAGCAAAAGAACAAAGATTGCAAATACATGTGTGTAACTAAGAAAAATAAACAATCATTTATTGAGTTTCAAAATAAAAAAATAGAAAAGTCAAAAAAATTTGTTGGTGTCCCTAGAAAAAACATCTACACTAGGTGCATGCTCTCTTAGGAATTACCTCATCTTCCCATGCTTCTAAAATCTCATAAATGTCCAATTCTAGCTCCGAAATTATTGATTCAAGAGCCGCATACCATAAAATGAACTCTTTGCATGAATTTATTTTATATAAGAAAATAACCATTTTTAATAGATTATTGTTAATTTTTTATTTACATATCTATATTATCCAAAACTCATTGATATGTTGCCTAAAATGAAAATACAACCTATTGTACTTTTTCTACTATCATTATTTCCTATCAAATCTAAATTTACATATCCATGTAGATTAATCCATATACTTCCAAAGCAAAGTATCTTCTTTGGATCTAAGAATCTATTTTACTACCTCAATCATATTTGTTTGTATTACTCCCGTACTGCCTGATCACTACCACTGCATATGCAATATCTACATATCATCGCATACATAAAATTTTCAATTGTTGAAGCATACAGAGTTCCTCACATATGTTTGTTCTGCTTCAGACTCGAGTGATTGTTCCTTCATTAGCTTAAAGTGATTACCTAAAAAGGTACAAATATTTTTGCTTCACTCATGTTGAATCTGTGTAAAACATTCTCAACATATTTTGTATGAGACAAATTTAATATACCTACACTCATGTCTCTGTTGATTCTCATACCAAGGATTTTTTTGGTTGGACTTCAATTATTGATACGACCAAAATGCTATGAAAAACCAGCGATATACACAATTATACGTATTATCTAAGTAGTATAAGAAACTGAGCCTCTGTATTGAGCACATGAGGAAAGAGTGAACTCTCAAAGTCTTAAAATGTTAAAATATACTAGTTTTAAGTCTAACTTAAAGATTTAAAATTGTGAGGTATTAAAGTTTCTAATCCTAATTTTTGTAAAAGACAAAACATATAACTAATTTTGAGCTAAAACAAGTGTAAGAAAGCCTCCCTTGAATTTGTTTTATGCAAACCAAATCAATCTGAGTGACTCTAATGGAGTTATAATCAATAACAATTGTTTTCCTTAGCCTCTCCTTGTGAACATAAGAAAAATGAGATTTCATATTATAGTTAGTCACATAACCATATAAAAACTTCATTGTTTGCAAATTTTCCAACATAATTGCATCACCTGGAACATAATATTCTTATTCTCCTAGAGCAATGTAGGTTAACCTAATTATTTCATCAGTCTACACTGGTAGTAATACATCACAACTGATTTTAACTTCCTAAATGATCAGTTTATGAGTAAATTAAATTTAAAATTTTAAACTATCAACTTATAATCATATTACAAGCAATCACATAACAAAGATTTCACCAACTTGCATAAAATCCAATTCATAAGAGAAAGGTTTAAGTCCTACTCATTACAGATGAAACAAACTAAATTTCATTACAAAATTAAGATTTAACAAAGTTTCACCGACGTTCTCCACTAATTCAAATGAAATTACAGTAAAATTCTTGAGTTTTACACCGTTTTGAGTACAAAAATGGATACATACGTACATTTACACTTGTTCTCACTCAAGACAACACTCATTCACACTCACAACATTCCTCCAGATTCTTCCTCTGAAATGCTCTAATTGCTCCTGAGTAATCTCTTTCTCGCTTTAGCTGGTCTCCAATGCCCTCAACTCTTTTCTCCTCTAGGCTCCCCTCTATAATGTCTTGTTTTGCCTTCGACAAAGGTTTTTATGTTTTTCATCATGAATCGATACATGTGAACTTGATACACCTCAGTACCAAAATCAGCGAACAAACCACGATGAAATTGCAATAGATGAGTAGAAAAACACAAATAAGGGTGGTTCTCTTACAACAATCAAAGGAAAATAAACAACATAAGAGGTTGGTCTACTATTCGAGAGATAGATCGTCTCTCCCACACGCAAGACGTCGCTAGGAACACCACAAGAAGAAACAAAACAACAGCCACAACAAAAACATGCATAAAAAAAAGCAAAACCCTATGTTCTCCCCTTAGCAGAATCCCTTCCTAACATTTCAAAATCTTTTTTTCCCAACCTTCCCTCCAAACTCTCTTAATTTCTCTTTTTTGCATACATGATTATGGCCAAAGTGGGCCCCACTCCTCCCTTTCCTTCTTTTGTGGATCTCCATGTTCACCCCGCTCCCGTCTTTCGCTAAGACAGACTTGTTCATGGGTCGGTTATGCTATCTTCAGTCGGTCCATGCAGGACCGGCTCACCTTCAGCAAATCCAGGGAGAATCGACTCCTCTATAGGCGTAACATTACTCCTCTCCCAAAAAAGACACATTGTCCTCAAGGTGGAATGATAGAAACTACTTGTGGATCACCTCGTAAGGCTCTCATGTTGCTTCATAGTCTAGTAGCCCCTTCACTTTGACCAATATATCCTTTGCTCCCCCTACATGACACCTTCCAACATCACTGCGATAATTATCGAGGCCCTAATCAAGACTCGTCTTTACGCATGTTTGAGGCATTGGGATGCTAGGCAATCCTCTGGATTGGTTCTTTCTTCTTTATGGCATCCTCATCCTCCCAGGGCCGTTATCCAGGACGAGCATGTTAATGGCATAGTTTCTTGTGAGCAACATTTCAAACATTTTAAACATTGGGATAACACTCGTGTTGAAATTATAGCGGTTCACTCAAATTTGCCAGCCTTGGACGTTTGAACTAAGAATTGTTATCATTGAAGGGGGACAACGGTAATGTTATGCAGCTACTTCGTACCGCTATGATGCAGGATATATGGCACCGTCAACCACTTATTGCCTCAGAGTTGGCTTTTCTTTTGATTTAAGCAAGTTTTGTTCTCTTATATGCCTCGAGAATGTATCAGGCCCGTTCAGTTTTGTGCCAAGCATGTCCTAAGAAATTCTTTCTTTTTATTGCATATAGATGATGATAGGGAACTATCAACAATACTTGTAGATGACAGGGTTTATTTTTGTACACCATAGATGCATACTTAACAAAGTTTTTATAATCTTTTTTATTTAGTAATGGAAAGGCATATTTTCAAAAAAAAAAAAAGATAATCTAATTGGAGTTGGATCAAGCTTGAATTGTTAGCTCGTCCAGCACAGCTCCCCAGCCATTTACAGAACTAAGTCCGAGCTCATGAGTCAGTCCGAGCTCATGGATCCATGTTAAACAATACTGGGGAGGGCTGCAAAAATGTGCTCCGAGTCTGTGTGAGTGCGTGAGTGTGCGAGTGTGACGGTATGATCGTTTATGAGTACCATGCTTCACATGTAGGTATGTAGCATTCACAAAAAGAAAAAAAAAAAAGAAAAACAAAGGTTACTGCTAGAGAAATTTAGAAATAAAAATCTTCAAAAGCATACCAGGCTTGAAAAAAATTGATAGCCCAAAATCAATCATCTTCAAAGGCGACGACTCCGTCCGCTTGACAAAGAGAAAATTTTCCGGTTTGAGATCCCTGTGCATCACCCCTAAAGAATGGCAGGCTTCGACAACACCAACAATAACCCTGGCAAGCTCTGCCGCAGCCTTCTCCGTGTAATGTCCCTTCTGAATAATCCTATCAAAAAGCTCTCCACCGGCGCATAACTCCATAACAACATGCACAGCCACAGCATCCTCATAAGCATCAATAATTGAGATGATATTTGGGTGACCAGCCAAGTGGTGCAGAATCTGGATCTCACGGCGGACATCCTCGACATCCTCTGGAGTCAGAAGCTTCCGCTTCGCTATAGATTTGCACGCAAATTCCTTCCCCGTCGCTTTCTCAATGCAGAGGTAAGTGGTACCGAACTGCCCCTGCCCAAGCTTCCTGCCGATGCTATATAAGTCCTTGAGTTTCCCCGTCCTGCGCTTGAGAACGGAATCCGTCTGCAGGCCAGCGCTGCAAATTCGCTTCACGAAGTTAGGTTTCCTTCTATCTTTTGACTGTTCTGGGAGTTTGGTTTCCTCCTCCATTGTCGTTGCCCGTGTTGATTCCTCCGGGGATTGGGACAGCAATAGAGACGGCGGAGGAGGCGGTGGCGGAGGCGGTGGTGGTGGTGGCCGTGGCCGTGGCCGTGGAGGCCGAGACTTGATCTCGCCTTCAGGTATTCTGATAGGTTCAGGGGGCTTGTGGGCCAATTCATCCTTCGTCGCCTCATTGGATGAGGAAGGAACGGGGTCAGGGACGGATTCGCGTGCTCCGGTGAGACGAGAACGGGAGAGTGCGGCGGAGACAGATTGGAAGAAGCCCGGAATGTTGGCGCTCGGCCCGACGCAGTTGTTACCCATGAAGAGCCCAAGCCGATCGGGGCATCAGTTTTTCGTCAGTGATCGAGACTTCTCGCCCTGCGGCATTGTGATCAATATAAATGCAATGGCATTCGATGGCGAGCGAATGCTGGTGGAGCTCCGTAGTTGGGAAGAAAGTAGGGTTTCGGAGTCGCAGGCGATTGAGTCGATCGAGCAGAGTCGAGCAACGCATAGCTTGATCGGTATAATCGAGCGAGATTAGGGCAACAAACGGGTTGAATTGAAACGGTCAGCAGCGGGAGAAGATTCGGATGACGGCTCTGATCGAGACAGATTTTATTTATATATTTGCTTCGATCGAGACTGATGATTCGTTTGATAGAGACGGGAGTAGCCCTTGGGCTGTATATATATAATGGCAAAATATATTCTATGTTTGTTATTTAATATAATAGGTCAAATAATTCATATGTTGCTAAAACTCTGATCATTCACACTGGTAATCATAATCTTCAGGAAAAATTAAATAAAATTTTAAAATAGAAGATATACATATTAAAAATATATTATAATTATTTTATTGTTTAAAAATTATTTAAAATTATTTTTAATTTATTTGTATTTTGTAACAGTTATATTACTGTGAATCAGTTTTTGCTCTATCGAAGTATACACTATTTCAATTAGGGTGGTAATCTAATCGAACCGAGTTGAGTATGTCATGAATCTGACTTGGCTTTGTTGTATCATAAATTGGTTGTATTAAGTTTGAGCTTGAGGCGAGCTTTCACATATATGTTCATGCTCGTGTTGCTTAAATTTTTTTATGTTCGTATTTGATTGTACTTGACATGTTCGAGAAACTTGCATGCCTAGCACACTATTCTTATTTATTTACATGTTCACCTAAACTTTTACATTTACATACATATCACTTTAGTGCCTTAAATTTATACAACAACGACAACAACAATAAAGTCTTAATCCCACTACATGGGGTCGGCTACATGAATACTTTTTCTCCATTGCGTCCTGTTTAGTATCATATTTTCATTTAGTTTTAGTAAATCAAGATCATTTTTTATACAATTAAGACCATTGTAGTTACAACAATAACAACAACAAAGCCTTAATCTCACTACGTGGGGTCGGCTACATTAAATCTAATGAATATATATATATATATATATATATATTTGAGTTTTGTCATTTTTGATATGATATTAACAATTTGAGTGTCATGTTTATAAATACGAAAGTTAAGGTGTGAGATATGTAAATAATTGCTATTTGTTATGCTAAAACAGTGCAGAAACGTAAAAATTCACACAACACCAATCAAATACAAACGATTTACATGATTTAGAGTTAAGTTGATCCGCCAATGTATACGTGGAGTGAGATTTCACTTGTACCGGATGAGAGAGAAAGATTACTTGGGATTACAACTCTTACACTTCGCACAATAACTCTTTCGATGAACCCCAAGTCCCTTTTACGGAGAACGATTAAGGTAGGTGTGTCAATTCAAGTTAGAGGGTTGGGTTCGGGTCTGACCGGAAGATGATCCGACTAAAATAGGTTCAACACAAACCCGACTCGAATAATAAACGGGTAAAAAACTAATACATGAACCCGACTCAAACTTAAGCTTGGCCCGCAAACCCTAACCCGACCCAAACATTCATGTTTATTTGGGTCATGTTTGTGTTTTGGGGTTCAACTCGAACTTGTCCCAAATAATAAACGAGTCAATTTATCTAACACCAACCCAACTCAAAAAACATTCGGGTCAACTCTAATCCTGATTTTTCGAGTCTAGTTGAGGTCATGTTGGCGTGTTAAGTCAATTTGTGACACCCATAGATTAACACATATAAGTAAATAAAGCGAAAAGATCAAATTACCATAATTACAAAAAAAAAATCATAAATACAATAAAAATGTCTCTGACCTTATTGAATTAACATATTTCAGGGTTATAAGGAATAAATTGTAGAAACTTAATTCTAAAACCTTGAATTCAAAATTAAATTTTTGAAGCTGATCTCGAATCAATTTGAGCTGATCAATATATGGCTCGACCTCAGCTCGAAAAAAATTAGATCCAAAGTCTATCTTTGTGCCTATTGTTTTGTTGGATGTTTAATTATTTCATTATATAGTCCAACACGTTTGTTTATGCATATAACACCCAATAAAACCAGCAATAAGCGTTAATGTAATAAGTTTCCACTCAAATAAATATTTTCATAGATTTAAGAGCAACCCGACCAATGATCAATTATCATTCAAGTCCAATCATTTTCATTCACCCGAAGGCCATTCCTTGTGAATCATTAATATCATTCTTACATTTAATTTTTACATAGGGAGGTTTACATACATGTCACTCAATTTCTTTGTATTTACATGTCTAATACGTCAGTTCTATATTTTACATTTTACAATTATACCCCCCAAATATTTCATATCTCATTAAAAATATAAAAATTACAGTTGTTAGTGAATAGGAAAGGTGATATATATAATATATGTAAAAATTGAACTTTTGATATTAAATATGTAAATACATAAAAAGTGAGTGATGTGTATGTAAATCTCATTTGCGTACATAAGATGTATGTATATAAGACGTATGCAGAGTTGCGTACGTCTGTAACCTGTAAATAGGTTACATGGAGAATATTCAGAGTTTATAACCGCGTTATACCCCCTGTAACTTCCATGTAAACTATCTGTATATGAAACAGAAGCACGAAACTTAGTAGAAAATACAGGTAGGTTACATAGATTTTACAGGAGGTATAACGCGGTCATAAACTCCTAATATCCTCCATGTAATCTAATTACAGGTTACAGACGTAAGCAGCTCTTCGTACGTCTTATGTATGCAAATTTTTTTCCTAACTTAAGGGTATGTTTAGTGGAGTTTATTTGGTGCGGTGGCGTTTTGAAAACACACTTAGGTTATTTGACAGCTTATACGTTTTGAAAACGCTGAAAATAATGTTTTCACACCGCACCTATCTATGTGCGATGACAATTTTCTGGCAACGATCTGATTTTTCCAAAAGAAATAAAAATTTCTAAACATCTAACTTATCAACATATTATTTTTAATCAACTTATTAACAGATTAATCAAAAATCTGCAGCTCCCCCAAACAGACTCTAAATCTAATATCACAATCTTTCTTTTTCTTTTTGATTTTATAGTCCTATATTTTACATTTTATTATAATATTTTTGATATATTTTTATAATATCATATTAAAATATAAATTATTTTCAAGAGTTTACCATTAATGATATTTTTAGTACTATTTAAAATATTAAATTTTATTTCAACGTAAAATCCTAAAAATTTTTAAAGGAAAGTTCACATACTGCTCAATTATTATAAAAGAATAATAACGAGAAAAATTAGAATCATATAACTTAATAATAAAATTTATAAATCAGAAAATAAAATGCATAAGAAATACAAATGAATGCACAATTTTTGTAAATTTTATTTCGAAATAAAACAATATATTCTGAAAAATGAATTTGTAAAAAATTATCTTAACACGCGCCAGGTAGGGGTCGAACCTACGACTTTCTGCTTAGGAAACAGACGCTCTATCCACTGAGCTACAGGCGCGTGGCAGGTCGAGCTGTAAGCTCTTATTTATTATGTATATTAAATAACTTTGTTTCATATATATTTGCTACATTTTTTAAAATCATAACAATTTAAGTTTTTTTTTCTTTACTCCATAATTAATTTAAGATTGAGACTATAATTTAACCAAAATTTAGTAGCTATCGCGACTTTAACATCTATTTTTAAACTCAGTAGTTTTTCTTAACTCCGTTCAATTCTATTTATTTATACATCTTCTAATGTTAACTCCAATTCAGTCCTGCACGTACTCAATAAGTTCACTTCATGAGAAAACATTAAGTAGGGACGTGTGGATGACGACGTGAATCGCACCACCACGTGTGTTCGGATGTGAGACGCGATCCACATCGTCTCCAATACTTTTCTCATTCAGACGTATTATTTTTTATGCTTATGCGTAAACCTAAGCAAAAAAAAAAAAAAACATGTATTTCATTGAAAATAAAATAAAATAATAATGATATTTTTCATGTGGAATTACTCATTTAAATGTTACATACATAATGCGAATGTTATGGCTCATTTACATAAGAATTGTGTGGTATTCAACAAAGGCATTTACATACATTTCCATTGGCGGATTTAGAGCACCTTAGATTTTCACTCGGCTCTGAGATATAAAAATTTAGGAAAAATTATTCTGTCAGGACTCCTAACATAGAGAATTATTCGAAGTATAATGAAATCACGCTAAGTAACGGCGACCGAAAAAAATAAAATCTGTCTGGTAAAATAAAGGAATATTCCTCTGGTATTATTCAAGTGTTATTGTGTGTTATTCAAATGTTATTGATGTATTATTTTGTTATTATAACATTGAGAATATTTTCAGAATATAATAACACCTGAATAACGTATAATAACACATGAATAACATGGAATAACACGAGGGAATATTCCCGTATTATCGGACCGATTTTTATATTTTCTTTCCTGTCCCCGCCACATGACGTTATTTTATTTGACTCCGAATGATTCTCTATATTATGAGTCATGACAAAATATGCACTCAAAATTTAGAGAGGAGACCTAAAGGGCAAACCTTTCTTAAATCATATAATAAAAATACAAATATCAAAATAAATTTACTTATTTATTATTTAATCATATATTTGTGCATGAAATTAATTTTCTTACTCATAATAAACAAATTTAATTTAACTTTTAGTTTAATCTTAGATTTTTTATACTATAAATAAATAAAATAAAAAATATGTATGCATAACTCAAAAAATTAATTTATAATAAAGATTTGAGAATATTTTTAAATATTTCAATTGTCCCTATTAAAAAAAAAATTTCCAGCTTCCTCATCGTAAATTGGTAGCACACGTACCAAACAATTTTTACATATTTAGACATATAAATACTAAATTTTCACACAGATATATATGTACTAAACTTTCACATAAATACATATACGCATGACATTCAAATATTTAACATCACATTCTAAATATTAGATATGATAATATTTTAATAATGAATTATATATTTTCATCTATATGTTTCATATGAGTTTACAGGTTATATATATTAAAACAAAAAAAAAATTATGTGATATAAATTCAAATGGAAAAATTATTCTGTCAGTATTCCTCATGTAGAGAATCATTTGGAGTCCAATGAAATCATGCAACGTGGCGGTGCTAGAAAAAAAATAAAATCTGCTCGGTAACACAATAGAATATTCCTTCCGTGTTATTCAGATATTATTGTGTGTTATTCAATTGTTATTGATATGTTATTTTATTATTATAATACTGAGAATATTTTTAGAACATAATAACACCTGAATAATATAGAATAATGAGGGAAAATATTCTCGTGTTACAGGGCCAATTTTTATTATTTTCTGTCACCTAATGTGGTAGGGGTAATGACAGAATATGAGCACACTTTCGTTCACGAAAATAGAGAAGTAAAATAGACGCTTTTCTTCTATTTTACATCTCTAGTAAATAGTAATTGCAACTAAACTGCTTACTTCGCACTTAAAATGTTAAATCCCAAGTAAATTTTGGTCCAACGTATCCGCCCACAAATAGTTTCTCGTCTGCAAGAATGAGAGGACTTCAAAGTCGGCGCCGTGTTATTCCGATAGCATTGAGACGAAGAGAACCCTAATTTCGCGCTCATCATTTCCTTCACACGCCATGGCGGCTTCGTCGACGGTGATCGCATCTTCTACTTCGTCCACCTTCGTTTCTGCAGAGCCCGAAACCCTAAACCAAGCCAATAATCCTTCGCCGCCCACCGACTCATCCCAAACATCAGAACTACCACAAACTGCCGGAAACTCCACTCCTTCAGATTCTCCCTCTAACCCCGAGGAAACGGTTATCGTCATCGGTGAAGATATTTCGGCGGAGGAAAACGAGGAAGCGGAGGAGGAGGGGGAGTGCGGGTTCTGCCTTTTTATGAAGGGAGGCGGCTGCAAGGAGCCGTTTATCGCGTGGGAGAAGTGCGTGGAGGAGGCGGAGAAGACTGGAGAGAATGTACTGAATAAGTGCATGGAGGTTACTTCTCTCCTTAAGAAATGTATGGACGAACACAGCGACTACTACGAGCCCATCCTCAGGGCCGAGCAAGAAATGGCGGATGCCGTGTCTGAGGTCGGGACGGAAAAGGAGCTAGTTGAGACGGAAAAGGAGCTTGTTGAGACGGAAAAAGGAGCTAGTTAAGGGAGCAGATACATAATTCTGATTCAAATACTCATTCTTGATTTTGATTCTTCGGAGGTATATAGGGGATTACCCTGACTTTCCTGTTTCTTAGGGCTGCTTTAACACAGTTTTGGATTTCAGCAATAACACGATACTTGTGAGTTCTTGAATTCTGTAAGAGACATTTTTGCAACGGCATACACATTTTTTTTCTTGCAAAGAGGAACTAGTTATTTGTTTGATCAATGCCTCATTCTATAAGTTTGTTTTCTTTAATTTGTTTTTGATCTATTTGGTGCTTTATTTATTTGTTTGGAATTATCAGATCATTTAATTTTCAGCTTGTTGCTATTTATAGAGAAGCTGTAATATTGATTTGGATTAATTATAGGCGGCCACGAAGACATTTAAATGACAATTATGAAGATTACTGTGAGTGAGACCATCACTGGAATCTTATCAAAGCTTCTCTGTTTGTAAATTCCAAACATTCAAGCAAACAAAAAAATGCTCAGACTATGCTAGTAATGACATCAACCAGGATATTGTGTTTCAGTCCATTTTGTTCACTTGATTAATCAGGACTTTAAAAGAAGAGTAAAATACATGTTCCATAAGTGAACATGGCTAATAATTTCTTTCAGGAGTTTAAGTGGATGCTCTTTTTGATATAGATGTGATGTGATTATTTAAAATAGCTTTAAAATATTGTAAAGTAGAAATAATTTAAATATGACTTTTTTTATGAATGTAAGTTAAAATTAATTACTTGACTTGTGACTTCTGACATTGTCTGATTCAACGTAAAAAAAGAAAATTTTTTTTGGGATCACCCATCTAAAAAAAATTATATCAGTTATTTGACAATTTTTTTGAAGCGGGAAGAAAAGGAAGTATTTCTATGTATTTAAACAGAAAACATGGTAGAAGTATCGTATTGAGGTTTAATTCATCTTTGCAATAATTGTATATACTTATGTTCAAATAATTATGAAATAAATGTTTAGTGATTTTCAGAGCACCTGTAAATGTTGTTGTTTGCTTTGAACCCAATTTTCAAAGGAAATTTGGTGTCTATCTTCCATGTGATTAAATTAGCGGAGTCATTTGAATTGTTTTTAAAATAGTTTTTAAGAATTATTAAATTTATCTATTACAGATATGTGAAGGAAAAAATGTAATTTAGATTTTGTGTCAAAAAAAAAAAAAGAAGAGAGGTATTGCTTTTTTTTTTTTCTTTCTGTGGTTTGCTTTTGAAACTGTTTGACAGTCCTAATTTTTACTTATTTGGGACATCATGATTTCCATGAAGGTTAAATCAATGGAGACATAAAGAGAGGACAATATAAGGAATGCTTAGAAAGTTTTTGTTAAAATAGTTTAAGGCAGATTATATGCTGTAATAAAGATTGTTTTACCTCCTCATTTATAGGCAAGTATAAATGAAGCATATGGTGTTATAAAGTTTAAGTGATAATTCCTTTTTGAAAATCAGGAAGAAGTGATAACTAATATCACTTAAACACTAACCATCAATGCAAGATTAAAAAAATACAAAATATGATAATGTAATATTCTTTTACTCAGAACTTCGATGTTATAAAGCTACTTTGATTCTCATTAGAACATGTTTTAGGATACGAGGTAGCAGGACAGTGTGGTATGCCAAAAGAAGAAGACTAAGAATAAAAACAAGGAGAGTTGATTGCTTGGATCATTGTTTTAATCTTAGTAAAATATTGAATGTGTTTCAAAGTTCAAAATAACATTGATATACAAGTTTATCATTCATATTTTATTATAGAATGAAGATGAGAAATGCGGATTATCTAATTAAGATTCTTTTTATTGTACTTATTTTTTATAAAAATCATTATTGGGTTGCCAAAATAAGGTATATAAAGTAGTATTTCTCATAAATATTGGAGAGAAAACATGTATTATAATTTTTTAAGGTAAAAAATTGTGTATTTTTCCATAAATTTTAAAAGGTGCTAAGACAAAAATTCTTGGAACAAACATGAGCATATTTATAATATAAACTTAATTTATTAGAATTAAATAAAAATATGACAATCAATAGGACACAGTGGAAAAAATGGTTCATGTAGCCGACCCCACTTAGGGGGATAAAGGCTTGTCGTTGATTCGTACATGAGCATATTTATAATATGTGAGCTAATCGACTAAGGATTTAAGTATTTCTCACTCTTAGTTTTCTTATTTCATCTTTCTTTCCATGAGTCATTTATGTAAACATATTTTACACTCTTTGTGGTGTATGTAAACCTTCCATAATCTCTCATGATAATGAAGGTAGGAAGGAGGGAGGGGAAACCTAAGTCCTAAACTCCAAACCATAGATCTTTTGTTGTGTCCAGCAAAATTATTTTATATTTGAAGAATTCTTGGAACTGAAAAGAAATGAGAAGAGAGGAGGCATTACCATGAAGCTGACTCATATTAGATGCAACAGATTCTCTATGTTAATAAGTTTATGTTTTACTGATCAGTGGCAGAGGTAGAGAGTGTATGCTTCTATGACATTTTTCTTCTTAGTCCTTTGTCATTGTCGTTGGAACCTTCACCCTTTTCTTATCTTTTTGCAGGAGTTATTCCAGCAGATGCCAAGTAGGAATTGTGTATGGTTTTGTTTTTGTGAATAAATGTGGAGAATCAGTGAGATGATTCAAGAATAGATTGTGTGGGTAGGATGATCATGACGATACACACATGTTTATGATTTATTGATTTTAAAAGAAGCAGTTGATTGGTTTAGATTTTGCCCTGACAAAGTTTCTGGTCATAAACTAATTTTAATATAAATAATGATTTTAGGATAATTGAGTTTCTCCTTCTGTTGAGGATAACCTTGCACCAATAATTGAAGGAAATCTATTTATTACTCACTAAGATCATTTATGTGCAAAGTGTTCATACTATGTCTGAGACACAGCTCATAAAATGTCAGAGCATCATAGGTGATGGTAGTTTCTCCCATATTGTGACAAAATATTAAAAAGAGAAAAAAAATTCACTTTTCCCTTCATGTTTCTTAAACTAGTCGACAACTTGTTGTTTGTAAGCAAACTATTGGATGATTCTAATTGTCAGGTCACGTTCTTTTGTTCTTATTGTGAATTTTAGGACCAAAACTTGAAGAGGATGATTGATGGTGCCAGAATGATCAATGTTTTTTACTATGATAAAAATTTCTTTGATAGTAAAACTATTCAATGTCATTATAATAGTATCGCTTCAATATCTGCCTGTGAGCAAGTAATTTTTTGGCATTTTAGATTAGGACCTCTTAGTTTTCAATATTTGAAATATTTTTCTCGCAACCTATTGAAAAAAATGCATTGTTATTCTTTTCGATGCAAATGTTGTTATCTATCCAAAATATGTTAGGCCACTTATTTTTAAAATCCTTATTGTGCCTCCATATCATTCTACTCAATTCACAACCATGTGCTGTTCCTTACAGGTCACCATTATGATTGAAAAAATGGCAGCTTGTGATATTTATAGATGATCGCACAAGGCTTTTAGATTTATTTAATGAAAGGTGAATTTGAAGTTATAATTTTTTTTCATGATTTTTACAAATTAATTGAAAATTAAATTAAGTAATTAAGATATGATAATGATATGAAATAATATGTAGAAAGATTTATTTATTTATTTATTTTTTTTGTGAGAGAAAAAGAATAAAGAGAACATTTACTGGACAATGCCATAATGTTCTCTATGCATGTTCTCAAATATCTATAGGGTGATATGATCTTAATATCATTTTTTTTTAATAACAAATGCTTATACAGGTATTGCAATGTGTTGTACCTCTAGATTATTTAAAAAAAATAAATTTTGATTTACCTCTAAATTTTTTTCATATGTTCACTTACCAATAAATTTTTAATCTAATCGTTTCCATTTATTTTTCTTTTTTTTTATTTTAAAAGGAGTCGTCAGCTTGTCGATTGTCGTATACTTCCTTCATCATTCAAATAAATCTCCCTCCTCCCGAATCAAATCAGTGATTCGAAGAGGAGAGGAACCGAATAAGAACAATAAAATGACAAACAAGAGAAAAAGTAAAATGTGGATAGTCTACGTGCGATAAACCTCGCAAGGATAAGTCAAGAATGTCCGTCCAAACATGATCGGGCTGATACACCTTAAACTCATTTCGCGAAAGAAGTGTCTACATACACTACCCAGAGAGTCAGGTGTGTGTACCTGTTCTGGGGTTAAGAGCACTCTTAGAGGAACGTGTTCCTACTGGTTAATTACATTTTGGGGGATACCCAAGAATACCTCGATAAAATCTCGATAAAAGGAGTTTCGCTTCATATTTTCATAAACCTGGGGTATAGGCTATCAAAGAAAAGTTATTCCGTGTGGGAACAGTCTCGATACTTCAAAGCTCAGGCTAAGCCATCGGGCAGAGAGTAAGTCTCTCACATCCCAAATGGGCAGCGGCTAATCAACACACATAACTCACGGAATAACCTAAATTATATTGACGGGGATATCCCAACACATCAAAACACGTCCGGGTCATAAGGGCAGAGGACAAATCGTCGTATTCCGAATGGGCGACAACTCATTAGTATCGGGTCGTCAAGGTGATCAATGAAGTCAAGGAGTGACAGGGCTCAAAGAGGCTCAACGAAAAGGAAGGTATAGTGATCCTAAAAGGTAGAGGTAACTGGGTCGGGGTACCATGGATTCGTCATCCACAGCTACTAGAACCCTAAGTCTACCTGGTCGTGAAGGTAGTCGACCCAACACGTCTTGAAATCCCCGGTCAGCAATCCGTGAATTGCATCATCCACGGGTATCTCGGTAGCCTTAAGGTAAAATTCTATCATATGACTACAAGCTGGAGCTCAAAGAGGTGGGACTTATACCTGTCGAAATAACAAAGATGCCTCAGAAAAGAAAGAGAAGTGGAGTTTCAGCTACAAAGCTGAAAACACTCCAAACAAAATGACTTATACCTCGTCTGGGTCGGGGAGCTTTCTAACATCCTAGGCGTACTAGATAACCACCTATATGAAGGTATGCTTCGCCAGTTAGGTTGGAGAAGTACGGAGACTCCTCCTCGGGACATGCAAATATGATGTAGTTATCTAGAACGGTCATAAGTATTATGAAGACCCTATTAAAATATGCAGGAAAGTAAATATTACAATTTTTAAATCCTAAATATTTTAATCCTAAATTTTAATTATCTTGAATATTTT